TTCAGTATTCTATTAAAGGCACAGTAAAAACGGTGAAATGGAATGAAATGGAGTTTAATGCCCTACTACATCTCTATAAATAAAGACTGGTTTAATAAAGGCGGGCATGCGCCATACAGTATGTTATTGGGGATATTTTGCCCAAACAGCGACGTTACGACCTAGTCTTATTTCCAATTCCAACTATCAAGGATTCTTTTACGTGCACGCCAACGTGTACGCGGAACACTGTCTTTGCCAAGCCCTGCGTCCTGCACCACTGACAAGGTGAAACCACTGTGGCAAATCCAGGAGAATTTTCTTGGCCAACACCGGGAACTGCGGGAGCCCTGGACCTCCTGGTTAGTGAGTCAGCGCCGTACTCACTGAGCCACCGCGATACCTTTATTAAAGGCATAAGCCATATAATATATGTATATTTAATGCAAAAACTCTATTTAAGCACATCTGAATATATAAAAGACCTTTATAAAGAATGGGCTGGCTTGTACGAAATTATGTAAGATTTAGATAAAGAGCCGACAGTTCTCGCTATAAAAGTTAAAAAAATTGATGATGAAAAGGGAATATATTGAAAATTCATTCTGAGCCGTGTTATGGCCGCTTGAAGAACAGTGTAGTCTCGATTGTCATTGCTACCGTCGATTATCCATTTTTCAATTTAATTATAAACTGGCAATCGTGTTCAAATCCGTTGAAAATCAAAACCATTCGATGTTCTAGAGAGTTGATTATGGGCTTGGCGTGTAAATAAATAGCTAATTAATGATTTATATAACATTTGCGGCCAAACGAAGGTCTGCATTAGGCGGATTTAGCTCTTAACATAATGCGTCTTTCATATTATGATATTTGTCTAATATTTTTACAGTAAGATAACATCAACGTTGAATGAAATGGATCAATATTGAATTGTAATTCGTGTTTTTAATTTCGAATATTATGGAAAATATTGAGTTACAGGTTTAGCTGCTTTAAGTTCTAATTGATGGATTTGAATAATTTTTGAATATCTTTTCTGGAAAGTTCAACTATTTTTGATCTCTATCAGAATCCCTAATGCTAGGGTTCCCATTATTGTGCGATGCGTTACGATAGAATAATCCCTAATTGAGTCCATGATCTGGTACGTGCAGATATATTTGGATACGTTTCGGTACAGTCAACACGATTGCAACGCCAGACCTCAATATATGGTAAGGCTTAATAGGATCACCACGATTTCTCCGCGATTAAAACCACGATTTCAATCATAGCATGAATCGTCATAGTGGGAACCTAGCATTAGCAAACCGGATTTTTCTAATTTTGTAAAGAGAAAATCTGGGGGAAAATTTGGTTTGAAAAAAAGAGTTATCTCCCTTTCACTGGTGGGATATCGCTATTTTGCTTCGGTGCAGCCTCGGTAAATTTTGAGACTAAACCATTTCAGGACTACCATATTTAAGTAATTTGCGTGCACGAAGGGACCTGGAGAAACAACGAGGTTGGGCAGGCGAACCTATAAGAGTGGGATTGAACCTTTACTCAATAGCAGACCTTATGATCTAAAGCGCACTTAGACCACTCGACACCCGAACTGTCAAGGGGAGAGAAAAGAACACAAGCTGCGATTAGACCCCGTAACTAATGCGGCCTTGTTAGTTCACCAGAAATGCGAGTTCAAAAGATATATATGATGTACCATTTTTCGTCGTGATATGCTTGCTCGGGCGTCAGCTTCTGTCTACATTGCGAACTGCATCACTGGCCTTTCAAAAAAGCATTTAATGCGCTAATAATGATTTCAAATGTTGCAATTGGTCGCTTCAGGGTTAATCAGGATATCATATTGATGCCAGGAACTATTAAAGGTCGAATTCATGTTTTTTGTCTGTGCTGTATCAATGTTTATTCATATCCCCTTTGTGGGGTTGGATGGCCGAAGGGTTATCGCGTCATTGAGTCAACTGGCGTGCTTTCAATTCCCCTGTTGTACGTGACAAGGAGTATAGTATAGTGTCGTCTGTCCAAAATCGTGGGTTTGCTCCGGGTCCTCTGGTTTCCTCCCACTGCTAAAGACCCCTACGCGCAAGCAAATAATTGAAATAAAATTGAACCATGTGTTAGTCCCGAAATGACCTAGTTTGTGTCGAGTGGACTCCATTTCTCTCTCTCTCTGTCTCTCTCCCCCCACCCTCCGAATATCGACTTTCAATATTCAACAAAAAGTGTCTGTTTCAAAACCGTGTAAATTTAACTTGAAGTTATAGATGACAGATTTAACGACTATAAGTCTCGTTTTCTACGTACGCGACGGTCTAATGCAGATGTAATGGAAGCGTTTCCATGTAATCAGAAATAAAATGAAATGGGGTTTAACGTCCTACTGTTCTGCTCCAACGGGTTTGAAGATATGACTGCCATGTCTCGTTTTACCTTTTTTTTACTCCACGGTATACCGGGAAACCATCAGGAAATATTATTTCTTGTCAAGTGCAAAATAAATAGGATAGCGGTCTCTACAAGCCCTTTCAAACATGTAGTTATTCAGTGATTCAAATATCAAAATCCAAATGTTATTTACAAACAATTTCAATCTAAAGCTAATTTTAAATGGTTGTACAGGTTTTCTCTACAGTACTTATAAAGTATAATGAAAGTTTTAATTTTATGTCGCATCAAAAAATAGTTGCATAATTACTAAATTACATGAAGTGTATAACGGAAATGACATATATGAAATGTGGGTTAACGTCCTACTTTCAGTTTATAACATAATATGTAGCCTATATTACGCCCTACTATGAGTTTGTAACAGAACATCTATATTAACTTCCTACTTTTCAGTTTATAACAGACATGAAATGAAATGGGTTGAACGCTCTAGTGTTCTGTTCTAATGAAGACGGGGGTTTATAACATAACAAAACATCTATATTCTTTTCATCCATCCTGCACCATTCTGCACACAGCGATCCATCTACTTCATACTTCGAGTATAGATCTCTGCCCTAAAAGGCCGCCATATCCAAAAATTAGTAGCCTATAGTGTTTTGTAATAATGCGGTCCTATTCCGGTTCAAATCTGTTATACACATGGCTTTTGGAATATGTCTAACCTCTTTCTTCGAGTTCCTTGTTACAAATGGCGCTGAAACGCATTATGGTACACGATTCGTGTACCAAGGGTAAAATGTTTATTTGTCTTAAATATTGGATATCAGAAGCCTATCCCTCCCGGTAGGATCACAACATCAATGTTGACTTAAATTGACAAATAATTCGTGTTTTCAATGTCAAAGACTTTGGGTGATATTGAGTTAGAGACTTAGCTAATTTAATTGATTAGACCTAGACTTCCCGGACCATTGCCATAGGTGTAGGAGTCGACCCCCCCCCCCCCAAAAAAAAACCAAAAAACAACCGAGATTGGCCTATGGCATTGCTTCAGGAATATGGCCAACACCCGGATCGAACCTGGCACAGTGAGTCAGCGTATACTTTGCCCCCCCCCCCACCCAATGCTTTCCACAAAATAAACCCATTAAATATTTTCAACTTCAAGTAACTAATATACTGTTTTTATTTGTTTTCTGTTTAAGTTTTACTTTGTTTTATAGGCTTAACGCGGATCTATTAAATGCCGAAATTAAAATAACCCAACTTTAAAAATAAGTTTTGTTTATTCAGATAGGTGTAACACGGATACGTAAAAACTGCACTCTTTTATTCACGTGAATGTCTAATATTTATAGCCACAAAGGATAACCATTGGTTGGTCTTATTACACTGTTAAATCTTTATACATGTTTGGCCCGTATATTACTTTAGTTCGCGAAATGTCACAAATTAATTCACCGCACTGACCCATGGAGTCATTTTGCTTATTCACGATGGCCATTGTTTAACAACTCAATAAAATTGAGCTTCATTTTGGTATAGCAGTAACAGGTTTAAATCAAACGAATCCTTACTGTAGTTTTATAAAATTCATTAAAAATCGCCACGATCCTAGTAAAAACTACCCCCAATCAAAAATGAAAACCAAACCCAGTAATTAAAAATTCATCACATAAACAATAAATTACATGCCTATGGATGTTTCATGCTGAAGATCGCTTCCAGTAACTTATAATTACCGGTTTAGGTGGGGTCTACTGCATCTTCTTATATAGATTAGAGCGTTTATTCAATCCGTGTTACTGTTAATAAGTCTACATAAAATAAGTTTGAAATGAAATGGGGTTTAACGTCCTACTGTTTTGCTCCTAACTGGGCTAATGAAGACGGGCATACGCCATACAGTGTGCTATGAGGGAAATTTTGCCCGGATAGCGGCACTACGGCCTACTCTTATATCGAATTCCAACTGTCAAGGGATCTTTTACGTGCACGCCAATGAGTACACGGGACCTCGGTTTTTCGTCACATCCGAACGACTAGACAGCTGTCCTTGTCAGCCCCTCCGTCCTGCATCCCTGACAAGGGAGAACCACGCCGGAAAATCGGGATGAACTTTCTCGGCCAATGCAGGGATCGAACACCCGACCCCCAGGCTAGCGAGCCAGCGCCTTACCCACTTAGCCACCGTGATCCCCAAATAAGTTTGAATAAGTTGTTTGAAAATAAATTTGTCATAGGTTATTAAAAAAGATCACCGTGGCCATCCTCTTTGTAAGATTTTCGGATAAACGTATGACACGTCGTCAATTACCGGTATTTATCAAAGAATGCGGATCTCAATCACGAAAAGGTGGGACTCGGGATCCCCTTTTATGGAGTCTCGGGTACCTGCATAAAATGACGTCATACCTGATTGCGTCATTTTCATGCTTTAATACTAGTCTTATTAACAATATATTTCGAATTCTAATAATAGAATATCTGTAAAGGTTGGTAAAAATAAATTATGTTTTAGAGCTAAAGAAGGCAAAATCTAATCTGGCGTGTTCGGCGTGCACGGTAGAATATCGACGGAACCGCCGGTATTGAAACAAGGGCAGTTAACTCCTAATATAAACACAGGAAAATCCCGCCTCCAGCAATGTCGGGTTGTTGATGATAGATGCACATAAATAACAGTGAAACTCAGGTAAGACTAGTGTATAAATACCTGATTGACGTTTTCCACGCGACAGTCTTACTTATTTACAGTTAGTTGTTTAGTTATCTTATCTTACCGATTACTGAGAGCAAAGAGTCAACTGTTTCAAACATGATACGCGTGCAAAAACTCCAAGTCGATTTCTTTGGCTTGAATTCATGCCGTGGCTGGAATATTGCAGAGTCCTCGTGGATTTTTACAGAATTCCGCCTGGGAATTGTAAATATCGATATCGAGAACCAACACATGAAATATGTAATAAGCTAGGTCCTTGTTTGTTGTTTATGTACAATATTTCAATATAATACTACGATTAAAATGGGAATGGATATTCAATTGCAGCTGGTTTGTACAGCCTATCAGCAAGCTGCATTTCGTCAAACACATAAAATAAAACTAGGCTTAGATTCACTAGACTGTGAATTATTTATCAAGCCACATTATTAAATGATTGTCATATTTGGGAGTTTCTTTGTTGTCTCTATATGATAATTGATATTGGCAATTAAGTTTAGAATTGGCCCACTGCAGGCTAAGCCTGTACAATCAATATATCACTCACACAGACTGTTAATTAATGTAGACCTTTACATGTCTTGTATGTGCTGTCACATGTCCGATCATAGGGAAATAATAATGCCATTTTGTTGAAGATTTAAGATAGGCAACTAGTTCTATGGTTTCAATGGTTTAAAATTCATTGTTAATCACAATCTAAACAATTTAAGTATCGTACTATACTAATGTCTAAAAGAAAGTATACACACTAAAAATATGACTAAGTTCTATTTAGATTAAAAACATTTGATAAAACATTATTGTCTCTTGCGTCAAAACTCAACATTTCTAAGCAAAATAAAAATGCGAAACAAATTGACATTGTACCCAAATGCCGCATATGATGGAAAACGACCTTGGTTGATGCAGCATGAAATGCACTTTCTTTTGGACATTAGTATAGAACACTAATCATTGTCCAATTACCAATTATGACAATTTAGAAATTTTTAACACCTGCACAAAAGTATGACAATCTTAATCTAGATTCTTTCTAGAATATAAAATATTCTGCTCTATTTTTTTCTGGTGCAATTAGTGCCTACTTGGGGGTGGGGATGACATAGGTAATTTAAAGCTACCCTGATTTTAATTTTACAAAACAAAACGGTTGACATTGCATTTGCATCACTTTTAGCTGCCACCAAAACAAAACAACAAAAACAAATATTTTGAACATGATAGTTTGGCCTCAAAACGTGATCTATTTACCAAACAACTAGGCTTTCGACAAACATTTTTACTGTTATTTAAACAACATGACATAAAATCTATAACTGATGCAAGATATCCATGTAAAATGATATTATTATTGTATTTATTTTATCTATCTGTACTATATATATAGAGAATCTCCTACCAGTCTTTTTTGATATCAAATAAGACGAGTAGGAGATTTTATTTATCACCCAATCCCTTTTTACATGCACAAATAGATAAATATAATTCTTTGCTGTAGATTTCACTTTTACTGAACATTAAGGCGTAGTGATACATCATTTTTTGACAGCAGTTCAACCATTGCAAAGTCCTTTATATTGACCCAGTGTTTCCATCAAGGTCAATTGAATAACAATAGTTCATTTTTAATAAAACAAAAGGTACTTTTAATAAGAAATGAACTGTTCTTTGAAAATAAAAAAAAGTAGTTCCTTTCCAACTGACCAATCAAATTCATGTAAAGCGATATCTCCTAAGGAGATATCGCAGTAGATTATGAAACATACAGGGTTCCCGCGGTCCTTGAAAATCCTTGAATATCCTTAAATTTAAAATTTCATTTTCAAGGTCTTGAATATCCTTGAATTTCGCGGAAATAGGAAAATATCCTTGAATTTCAGTTTAGATCCTTAATTTTGTTGCAAATGTCTTCAATTCCTTTCAAATATGAGATTATAACGATAGTTGGTAATGTTTTGGTTATTTTTAAGATGAAAAATTGTAACTTTAGGCTAAAAAATGTCCTTGAAAATCCTTGAATTTGACGTATATTTATCCTTGAATATCCTTGAAAAAATGTTTGACAAAGCCGCGGGAACCCTGAACATATCACACAAGCGATATCTACTGTAGAATGTATTATTGGGTGATAAATGCTTGATATCAACTTGTAAAAACTTGTTGAAACCGTGTAGTGTTACAAACCAGAGAAATGGGGTGTATCGTCCACTTAACACAAACTAGGTCATTTCGGGACTAACAGTAATATATATAGTTTAATATTATTTCAAAAATTCACTTGTTCGTAGGGTCGTCTTTACTAGTGGGATGAAAACTTACAAGCCGAAGGACCCGGGGAAAACCTATGAAGTTGGACAGGTGACCCAACTCTGTCGTATAAAAACTGGGAATAGAAAGAGAGAGAGAGAAATGGGGTTCAATGTCCACTCGGCACAAACTAGGTCGTTTCAGGACCAACACATAGTTCAATTTTATTTATTTCAATAATTCGCTTGTGCATAGGGATCTTTATTCTTTAGCAGTGGGAGGAAACCGGAGGACTCGGATAAAACCCACGAGGTTGGACAGGCGACCCTACTCCTTGTCACATATAACCAGGGAATTGAAACCACGCCATTTGACTCAGTGACAGACCGTATGATACAGTACAGCGCGCACGTGCTAACCATTCAGCCAACCCACCCCACCTGGGAATCAAAACCACAGCACTTGACTCAATGGCAGATCTTATGATTTAAAGTGCTCAAGTTAGACCATAAGATTCACCCCCTCCCTTAATAGATCTGTCTTGCTATTATACATGCATTACTAAACATGTGTTTTTTTTTAATCTGTTAGACTATCACTCGTTGATTTCTAAAATGTCAAAATCAGGCTAAATAATCAAAATGACATGAAGTCAACTGAGGAGTTTTTCCCGTATTAGTTTATGTACCGGGTACATGTATGTCTAGTGATAGATTTATATGTAGCAGTTAATAATTGACTGTAACAGGTAATAATTGGGTTTATCAGGTAATAATTGGCTTTACCAGGTAATAAGAGTTCAATCATATGGCTTCTGTATCTGAAGGGCTGCCTGAATGAAAGCTCAAATGACCAGAGATCTACAGCAAGGCCTCAATGTTTAAACTGGATCAATGTATCAACTGATAAGGTTATTAAAGTAGATTGTGAAACACCCTACAATCTTTCTAAAATTCATATTTGCTGTTTAAATTAGTGAAATGAAGAAGGCTAGTAAATTGAAGTGATTATTGCCCTTGATCACTTCATAAAATCTTGTGAATACCGTACTCAAACAATAAAAGTTATCAATCAATCTCTTTGAAATCAATATACACTGGTACTCCAAATTTATAAAATTCTGTTTCGTGAATAGGATTGCCCCTTTTTCTGATAGAGTTAAAGCTATTGCCCATGATTATGTCATAATATGAAGATTTTGCTTTTTATGTACCTTAAGATTCACAATGAAAAAACAGGGACTTCTCTTTCGACTAAACTGCCTTGAGTGTAATGTTCTGTTGGCTGACAACCTACCTTTGAAAAATGGAATGTACATCGATTCAATATAGAAATAAAAACATAATTTCTGCCAAAAATGATCTGAATGGTTTAGGGTTATTTATTGAAATAAAGGTCAACTGGCAAAACTTAGAAGTACACTACAGTACTGCAAATACATGTAAGAGAGAGAGAGAGAGAGAGAGAGAAATGAGAGAAACAAGGTTTAAGGTCAAACCCGACATAAACTAGGTCATTTTGGGACTAACATACGATTCAATTTTATTTCAATAATTTGATTGCGCTTAGGGTCTTTAGCAGTAGGAAGAAACCAGAGGACCTGAAGAAAACATATGATGTTGGACAGATGCGACAGACGTGACCCTACCACTGAGATCGAAACAAGGCCACTTGATTCTATGACAGACCTGATAACCTATGGCGCACGTGTTCGACCAATATACCACCCAAGCCCCTTTACAAATAACTGACCTGATGTTTATATAATGTTTAATGAAATATTTGATTAACCTAATTATAGAAAATGCTGTGACATGCCATTATATTAGGCCTTGGTGAGAATATCTAAATATAGAACACCAAGTCCAGGATCTAATTACATTTAATGTGTTTATTATGGGTAGTCTTTATCTTAGATTAAAGGGACAGCAGACCAGAAAAAAAACCAAATAAAAGTTTAGACCATTCAAAAAATACCTATAAAGAGGCATTATTCAAGAGCTACATGTAAAATCTCTCTATTGGAGTATTGCAGTTCTTTTTTTTTTTGCCTTAAATGTTACATACATGTAGATTATTAATGAGATATTTATTAACTTATCATAATCAACATTTGATGCCATTGGATACGCGAGATTTTCAACAGATTTAAATACAACTGACAGTTGATAATTTAATTTAAAAATGGATAATCAAGACTTTGTTTATTGTCTTAATATCTGTAGCAATGACAATCAAAACTACACTATTCTTCTAATGGCGATAACTCGACTCAGAATGAAGTAATTTGACTGAAATTTTCAACATATTCCCTTTTCATTATCTATTTTTTAAATCTTACATAATACCCCTTTAATAAACCTCGATTATTAAAATCCTTCCATCCCAATGTAAGTGTTGACCATTTGAAGTTTACACTATATTTTGTAAATTTCACAGCACCATCTTGCATGAAAATTCTTAAAAGATATCAGGTAGAGATCTGTTGTCCACAGGAGAGGACCTGTTAAAATTGTACCAGCAGGAGAAGTGGAAGATGAAACACGCATTCTTCTCCATTTCTTTGGCAAGCATTATTATTATTATAATTTGAGGTCAAGAGATCATTTATATTAACTTACACGTACACGTACATTTTAGTTTTAATCTTTTAATTTATTATCTCAACTCTTTAGCACTTAGGGTGTCACGGTGACTCAGTGAATAAAAAATACGGCTCGCTAACCAGGAAGTCCCATGTTTGATCCGTAAGTTCAGCAGGATTTTCTAGTGTGGTTCCTCCTTGTCAATTATGCAGGACTGAGGGCCTGGCAAGGGACAGTGTATAGTCCTTCGGATGGAACAAAAAATGAGTTCCTGTGTTACCTGTGTACACATTGGCGTGCATGTTTAAGATCCCAGGGCAGTACCAATTCTTTAACAGAATAGGCCTTAGCGCACAAAATTTCCCTCATGGGACACTGTCGGAGCAGAACAGGAGGATGTTAAACCCCATTTCATTTCATTTTATTTAGCACTTAGACTATATAAAAAGACTACTTATTAAATTATATGCAGAACTTTGTGTTCATAATGATTAATAAGATCATTGACACATGGTACATATATTTGAGAAGTTTGCTTGTACAACATTCATATAGAAGTAATTAGTCTAGAGTGAACACTGGTACAGATTCCTGAATTGCTGTATAAAAAGAAAAGGTGTATCAATATTTATTTAGTTTTTGTGTGATCATGAAGGATGTACCATATTGTACTTGTCTATTAAGGAATTCAAACATTTATTTAAAAAAAAAAACAAAACTGCACTTAAATGCAAATGATACCGGATTTACTTGGAATTGTTTTCCAAGTTACATGTACATGTGTGTTCATTTTTTATTTATCTGTAGGCCAACCAGCATGCAGGTTATAACAAGGGTGAATTCCCTTAGATTCATAAATGCGCTCAATTACAAATGAAACCGGATTTATTCTGAATAATTTAATAGCATGTTATGTATAATATAGGGCAAAACTCGGTGCTTGAGCAAAGCTCTTTTCCAGTAACACAGGAGCATAACTGAAACGTCACTCACAGACTTTTGGCAATGCACATGTCAACTTACCAAATCTTGCTTAAGTCTCGGGTCTCATAGAACTATTTCTATAACGCTTCTAATCAGTGACGTCACATATTTTTGTCGTCAATGAAAATTCAATCCCCGCATTGACTGAGAAAGTTCATCAGGAATTTTTGACATGGTTTCCCTTTGTCAGTGGTGCAGGACGAAGGGTCTGACAAAGGATGGGATGAAAAACTGAGGTTCTGTGTACACATTGGCGTGCACGTAAAAGATCCCTTGGCAGTTGGAATTTGACATAAGAGTTAGTAAGAGTAGGCCATAATGCCGCTGCTCAGGCAAAATTTCCTTCATAACATACTGTACGGCGTATGCCTGTCTTCATTAGCCCAGTCAGAGCAGAACAGTAGGACGTTAAACCCTATCTCTCTCTTACATAGAGGATATTTGTCATTTTGTCGTGAATAACATATTTTATTTCATCGAGAAGCAAGAAAACTTATATTTTCACGAATGCGTAGCATGAGTGAAAATATAAACGTTTTCTTGCTTAGAGTAGAGATGAAATAAAATATATTATTCACGACAAAACGACAAATGTTCTATTTATTTTATGATTTTACAATCATTTTAGGTAAAAACAACATGCACTACTGCTAGCCAGTGGAATAACACTTTTATTTCACTGATAAAACGCGGTATTCCACTACTGATCATAAAATAATTAATGTTACATGGCCTATGTATGGTAATATTGCTTACCTATGTACCTGTTCATTGTGATAAAGAGTTATTACATGATTTACATGTAAGAGCTTAAGGTGTAAAATATTCACATAGATATTTCTATTAATATATATTCTCTCACTGGAGAAGAAATTATTTAAGTACAAGTGATTTATGATTGTTTAAAAGAGAAAGATTAAGGTAATAATGTTCTCAAGTACATAAAATGTCTTTAATTTGTCAGATAAAAAGTCAGTATTTTGATTTATATGAGGACAAACTTACTTTTTGGGTGTGATTGTTTGTTGATGCTGTAAGGTTGAACACATAATGTCTTTTAAAGTAGATATTTGAATGTCTCTTTGCACAAGTGTATTATTGTTCATAGACATAAAAAATTGTTGATAATCTTAAAAAAAGTCTTTAAAAAATCAAATCACAGAACTCATTTTCTTGAACTAGTCACAAGTGTTTTAATGACTGAATTTTGATTTATTACCAATGTACGGTGTATACATGTATGTACTGATAGAGAATCTCCTACCAGTCTATTTTGATATCAAAAAATATCAACACAAGTCGATAAAGTGTTGATATGGCTTGATAAGTACTGACTACAGGAATTTCACCACCTTTGAATTGATATAATTTTAATCCTATGTCACAATATTATGGTATTTCAACATACATGTAATATGCATGTAGCTACATGTACCTACGTGTACCATGTGTTTGACAGAGGATCTGGCACAGAACTATGTCTAGTTGTTTGGATAGGACCAAAAATAACGGTCCCATGTGCACATTGGCTTGCACGTAAAAGAACCCTCAAAAGGTCGAATTCAAAATAAGAGTAGGCCATAGTGCCGCTGTCCGGGCATAATTTCCTTCATAGCACACAGTATGCCGTTTGCCTGTCTTCCTTGGGCCCAGTAGTCCCGAAATGATCTAGTTTGTGTTGAGTGGATGTTAAACCCCATTCTTCTCTCTCTCTCTCCTTGGCCCAGTCAGGGGAGAAATGTATGACGTTGCATTCCATTTCATTTCATTTCATTTATACATGTATCTCCATGTACTGTAACTGTGTTTGTACATGTATAGTCTTTTTACATGCTATATATATATATACTGTTGTATGTACACATAGTACATGTAGGTGATTTTGATACTAGCTGTTATACCTTTATATTTAATTGTTGACATACAGGTGTCTATAACAATAGGGGAAAAACAGATCAATGGAAGACAAACAGAATCCCCGAGGTTAAGCAGACAACCCTACTACTCACTTTTACTTATATAGGAATGGAATTGAAACCACAACAAGTTGAATTTAGATGACAGAACATTTTATCTAAATCACATACATAAGATGTAGCCGTCCAATCAACCCCCGCAAGTTTAAAACATAGAACCTAACTATGCATATGTTTCTCTTTTATTTGAAGAGAACATTTGTACCAGCCATGTAGGCTAGTGGGTGACCTACTCCCTTATCAAGTGGTACTCTGTCCGGTTCCTTTTCTATCCCTTTGTTTGTCAGGTTATTGCCCATTTTGAATTAAAATACTTGTATTATAAAGATGTTCCTTTGAGAGTAATGCATGTACGCTTAGTGAATGTTTCTGAAAATTATGTTATTCTAATGAACTGAAAAAGTAAAATCATACACCAGCTTGTAGTTGAAGGGTATTGTAATTTATTAACTCCATGTGCAGTTAGTTACAGTTAGCTTGTAGTTGAAGGGTATTGTAATTTGTTAACTCCATGTGCAGTTAGTTACCAGTACATGTATACTGTAATTGAACAGTGTGGCTGTTCTACAATAGGCTAAATAGTATACCTGAGTGCTGCAACTCTAATCATTACTATCCTAATTATCAACAGAATATATGCTGTTGTTAGTCAGGTGCTCTGTTTAGACAATGCATGTATCTACTGTAATTTTACCTGAGTTAAGTCTGCTAAATATATTCATTGATTATTTAACATTTAATTAAGACAACAAAACCAAAATGTCAAGGTTACATGTACATCCCGGGTTGGATTTATTTGGAAGAAAAAGAGCCCCTTAAAAGGAGAGAGAGACAAATGAAGTGTAATGTCCACTCAACACAAATTAGGTCATTTCGGGACTAACACAAGGTTCAATTTTATTTCAATAATTCACTTAGCAGTGGGAGGAAACCGGGGGACCCGGAGAAAACCCACAACCCTACTCCTTGTCACGACCCTAATCGAACCACACCAGTTGATTTAATAACAGACCTTATGATACAGTGCGTATATGATAATCATTCGGTCATCCAAACCCCCCCCCCCGCCCCATAAAGGGATTGTACCCAACACTTATACATGGCACTGGTTTGTTTATGTCCACTTCAGGGGGGTTGTTGGGTGGTCGAATGGTTAACTCGTGTGCATTGCATCATAAGGTCTGTCATTGAGTCAAGTGGCGATTCCCCGGTTGTATGTGACAAGGGGTAGGGTCACCTGTCCAACCTCGTAGGTTTTCTCTGGGTCCCCCGGTTTCCTCCCACCGCTAAATGAAATAAATGAAATAAAATTAAACCGTATGTTATTCCCAAAATGATGTAGTTTGTGTCGAGTGGACGTTAAACCCCATTGCTCTATCTCCTATGTCCGCTTCAAAGGATGCGTAGTGATTTTGTATAAAGAACAGAATTCAACTATATTGGACTGATATTCCTTTTAAGAAATTCATCTTAAACAATATTTTCTGGTATTCAAATCCCTCAAATGATGAATAATGGCTTTAATATTTCTGTACAACATGAAAATGAAATGAAATGGGGGTTTAACGTCCTACTGTTTTGCTCTGACTGGCCTAATGAAGATGGGTATATGCCATACAGCGTGCTACGACCTACTCTATATCGAATTCCGACTACCAAGGGATCTTTTATGTGCATGTCAGTTTGTACACAGGTCCTCATTTTTTTTGTCCCATCTGAAAGACTAGACAGCTGTCCTTGTCAGACACTCCGCCCTGCACCACTGACAAGGAGAAACCGCGCCAGAAAATCACAATGAACTTTCTCGGCCAACACTGGGATCAAACCTGCGACCTCTGGGCTAGCAAGCCAATGTCTTACTCACTAAGCCACTGTGGCTCCCAATATTACTGTACCCGACCACATCTTAACAATGTTATAGAAGAATATGTCTTTAGTATTTATGTAATTATTTTGAAGGTAAAAGCTAGAGAAGTGGATTACCATTCTAGTATAAAGAGTGTAGAGTAGAGTGAACAAGAGGAGTTAGAGAAATAGACGACCAATCTAGCATAAAGGGTGTGTAGAGTGAACAAGGGGAGTGAAGTTTGATGTTTCCAGATCAGCTGTCACTTCAACAACGAAACACCGCAATCAGCATAATTATTATCACATCAATGAGAAAATACAGCATAAAACAACCGTAGATACAACATATTATTACACAATTCAAGTGAGTACAATTTGTTGATCATTATTTTCAGAGATTTTGGTTGTACCATAGGTGAAAGGACTCTACAAGGTTCCTACTGTTGTACGATGTGTTATGATAGGAATGTCCCTATTGAGTCCACCATCTGATACGTTTGGATACGATCAACGCAACTGCTACGACAGACCTCAATATTGGATAAGACTTGATATGATGACCACAATTACTCCGTAATTAAAACCAGGATTTCAATTTTAGCGTGAATCGTGATAGTGGGAACCGTGTATTACCTAACCAAGTCAAATCTTTTTATACCTGATGAATATTCATGAGACCATGATAACCCTGTCTACTTCCAAGACGATGTGAAAGAAAATGGACGCCACACAAATTGATTGGGCTCTGTTATAGATGAGAAATGTTCCAGGACTTGATTAAGGTACACTTCATATGTGAATGGTATTATTGAATTCAGTATGGAGTTGGTCATATGAATTATCAAGACAATAACTCTAGTCATGTCGACCGTAAATTATTTGCTTGTAGACAGTCTGGATTGTTTACACATTGTAGATCAAAATACCACAATTTTACAACAATGGACCAAATATATGAGTTGATTTTAAGTTTAATTATTTGTTTTTCCTACACAGAAAATGTGCCATGTTCACACAGGCTGTGCACAAATTTATTTGAAGTATTTTATGTGAAATATTTATTGCTATCCATTCTAGAGATAAAATGCTGATTCATGAATGAAGTGATTAATCATAATGGAAATTCTCAAAATAAATGGCTATTCAATGATTTTATTCTAAATCAAACCCTGGTCCCGGTTGTACAAAGCGATCTCAGACTTAAATAAAGAATTTACTCATCTTTCAATCACAACTATTTATGAGAAATATCTTTGATCCAGAAACAGAAAACTTTCCACATAGTTTCTTGTTGATGTATTTGATACATTAAAACAACAAAAGTTTTATAAAGAGCTATAATTTAGTTAAAATAAGGTAAACAGATTTGAGGAAATTCTTAACTTAAGCCTGAGAATGTTTTGTGAAACCAGAGCCTGTGTGGTGGTGCATATTATACTCTAGATACATTTGTACTTTCTTTGATTTAGGCTGACCTTAAAAATATCTTTGTTTCACCAAACCCGACCCACAATCGAGGAGAAGGGTCGGTAGGTCGTTTTTTTCAGATTTTTTTTTAAAGTCAGAGAAATCAATACAGAAAACTTATTAGCTGTATACTACAGATTCATTAATTTTGTTTAATGAAAGTTTTTATTAAACTTAAGAGCTAATTTGACAGCTTAATAATTTTCCGGGTGGAAACATTCGTCTTCTTTATTGGCAAACAAATCAATGACATCAGGATTTTTCGTGATGTCCGACTCGCACACGATTTGCCACGAACTTGAAGTGTGAAACTCCTTCAACACGTTTTTAACGATAGTGCGGGTTGTGCCTTCATTTTTCTCGAAAACGGATATTGAAAATATCGTCGTCATGTTTAAAACTACGCACCACAGATATAGAGGCAGAATCATTTCGTGGGAATGGACGTGTATTCGTCTGCAACCATTTTGTTGAGAAGCGACACCTATGACGCTTTCGTCTTGATCAACCAGTTTCAATAATGAATCAAACCATAGCCATAGTAAAGGGAAATAACTCTCATGATATATTTCAGGTTGACACACAAAATAAAATAAAAAGATCGTGGAAAAGTGCAATAAAATAATTTAAGTCGGGGGTGGTTTTAGTTAGTCGGTCGCGTTAGGCGAAACAAAGATATTTTTAAGGTCAGCCTTATTCACTTACAAATATTATCTGAGAGAGAGAGATCATTTTCAGGAGTTCAATTTTATTTCAATAATCCTCTTGCCTGTAGGGGTTTTTTAAGAAGAAACCGAAGGAGCAGAAGAAAGCCCACGAGGTTGGACAGTATGACCCTACTCCTTTACACTTACAAGCAGGGAATTGTAACCACTCCACTTGACTCAATGACAGACCTTGTGATTTCACCAGCAAGCATTAAACCACTAGACCACCCAACCCCCAATTTAGTGAGAGAGAGAGGGGGGAGAGAGAAGGAGGGAGGGTTTAATGTCCACTCGACACAAACTAGGTCATTTCAGGATTAACACATGGTTCAATTTTATTTCAATAATTCGCTTGCGCGTAGGGGTCTTTACTAGTGGGAGGAAACCGGGCTGGGAATAGAGAGAGAGAGAAATGGGGTTTTACGTCCACTCGACACAAACTAGGTCATTTGGGGACTAACACATGGCAACCCTACTCCTTGTCATGTTTAGATGGTTGAATGCTTTAAAGGGTGTGCTTTAGATCATCAGGTGTGTCATTGAATCAACTGACATGGTTTTGATTCCCAGATTGTATGTGACAAGGAGTTGGGTCCCCCGGCTTCCCCCCACTGCTGAAGAACCCTACTCACAAGTGATTTCTTGAAATAAATTTGAACCATATGTTAGTCCCAAAATGACATGGGTTTTGCCGATTGGACATTAAACCTATCTCCCTCTCTCTTTCGTGTTGGTATAAATCTTGACATGGCTGGATATTGCATGCTAAAATCATATTGCACAATATACTGTAGTCAAATTTTGACACTCGATTTCAAAGTCCTCAGAAGGACCCACAGTGATGGTCAGGGCAAGCCCTTTAACACAGCAGTGGATCCTGAATTTTAAAAAACAAACAAACACTGCATGCTACATACCTACATATATAAATAAAATGAATTTAGAACAGTTCTTAAAAAAAGGGGAATTTAAAAAGGAACATATACCAGTGTGTCTGTCGACTCAGTTACTGCTTAACTAGGGCATTTTTTCTACAAAAAAAAGTTACTGTACCTATTGTGATAAATTTGAAGAATAATTTATTTGTGCTGTAAAAGTTAAATTTTTCTATGAATGCTATTTAAATGATTATTATTATGTTAATTTGGGTGGGGCATGGACATAAACACAGAAATAAACTAGAAAATTAGTTGTTACATATTTTTATTTTATATGAAATTTCTGCACCAGGTGGAGGTTAAACACCTCTCTCTCTCTCTCTCTCTTGCACACATTTAGTTAATTGGGGGAGGCTGTTTGCCTGGCATCGTTGTTTTGACATTTTTTTGTTTACATCATTTGTGTATGTATATACTGTGAGGATATACTGTACATCGATTTATCATTTCTCTGACTTCATATAGAACAATACGAATCAATTTAATAATAGTATCATGTGTAGTATAGTCAACTATGTTGACATATATTTCTTATTATGAAACTGTTTTCTGATACTTGCCTTTTTGCCAAAAAAAACCCCTGGCAATTGGCAGGAAAAGACATAAATTATACGGAGTTTATCAATTTCTCCAGATGGCAACCACCTAAACAGATCTATTAGGATTTACGTCTTTGTTTTATCTACATGTATGATAGTGGTTTCACAGTTTATTGACCTGTGAACTGTGGTACATCACTTCAGTATGTATTATATTGACAGGTGGACACAGATGTCCAGGTACAAATGCAAAAGTTTATTTTTTTGTTAAGTACCGTATATACAGTATGTATACAACATATTCAGTACTTAGTGTATAGGCTGCTTTAAAAGATTCTAGTTTTATTGTGAATCCAACCTTTTTGACTCTTAAGATGTTAATTTTATATCATACTAGCAGGATACCCGGCTTCGTTCGGGGATCATAACTCCAAAACCGGAAGTGGTAGACTAACGCCACCTGGCCTATGTTACTCCCCGGCCCGAGCTACCCCTATACCCCAAATTTCAGACTCGGGGCAGAACTAGTGTAGCCGCCAACCCCGAACAGACCGGCTTCGCTTGGGGGTCATAACTCCGAAACCAGAAGTGGTAGACTAACGTCACCGGGCCTATGTTACTCCCCGGTCCGAGCTACCCCTATACCCCAAATTTCAGACTCGGGGCAGACCTAGTGTAGCCGCCAACCCCGAACACACAGACAGACAGACAGATAAACAGACAAACAGACAGACAAACGACAATCACAAATATTAGTATAGATAGATGTTCTAAGTTAGATCCAATGATTGTGTGTAATTAATAGTAAAATCAACTTTCTAATCTTGTATGTAAGAGTAACCTCACCTGTCTTACCAGTTGTGTAACTGTCTAATCTTGTGTGTAATTAATAATAAGATCACCAGTCTAATCTCAAATGTAACTGTCTAACCTTGTGTGTAATTAATAATCACTGATCTAATATTGCGGTGTGTAATTAATAATAAGATTGTCAGTCTTATCTTTTGTGTAATAAATAATAAGTCCACCAGTCTAATCTTGTGTGTAATTAATAATAAGATCACCAATCTAATTGTGTGTAATTAATAATAGGATCACTGTTCTAATCGTGCATGTAATTAAATAAGATCACCGATCTAATAGTATGTGTAATTAAATAAGATCATCATTAAATCTGGTGGCCATAGCTTGTTCCAACTCTCATCTGTTACTAAGAAAATGACCTAATTATGCCCCCCCCCCACACACACACACACCGCTTACACTTGCTCAATGTAGATAAGAAACTAAGAATTGTCTGTGGAACAGTTCAGTATTAGTACAATATTTGTACATGTTTCTGTAATAAAACTTTTGCTCTATATATCTCCAACCACACCAATTGAATTTTAGCTTCTTCAGGAACACCTGTACAAAAATATCTTCCTCTTTCTTCAAGAAAAAGACACTGAAAAAAGTACCTGGTTAACTTAACAGTTCCAAAGCTTTAAGTTTTAGTTCCAAATTTTGATATTTTTGTCCCCCGCCTTTCGAAGAAAGCAGGGGACTATTAAAATGGGTTCGTCCGTCTGTCTGTCTGTCCGTCTGTCTGTCCGTCACACTTTTTGGGACTCAATAACTCTCTTCCTAATTGAGCTAGAATGTTCAAACTTGGTGTATGTGTTTATTAGGTCAATGCCTTGTTTATTTTGATTCTATCTGATAGAGAGTGAT